AATATTTATCAGCATTATGTAGATAAATTGTAGATTTGTGAGTTCTGTAACATTCCGAATTCAAAACGCGAAAAACAAATGTCAAATCTTTGTTTCATCTAAATTCGAGACGGAAAATTAAGAAAAAAAGCTTTCGTTTCACAATAATATCAAAGCCTTAGACATAGAATAAATGAATAGCTGTTGTTTATTGCCTGTACACAATACTTTCCCCAAATCTATGTTTCCTTAATGGCTTTGAGAATAAGCCACTGATTACAGTGTACACAATCAAGCCGCTGCACTTACGATTCGGTGGCTTGTGCCTCCGAACAATTCTAACGGCTTCAAAGACTTTACAATTCAAAGCCTGGATCTTCTCTTGCCTAACATCCTAGATGATGAAAATGATTGATCGATTGATACGCACCAGCCACAGATAAATGGAAGCATTCAAATAATTAGAGTCGTAGGGGGCGGATAAGTGTTGCCCTCCCATCGACATATTTGCGCTTGATTGGTATAATTGAGTTGACACTAATGTCTAAATAAAAGGTGACAAATATTCACACCTTCAAGGTGGAGATATAATGCTACCTTCTTCAAATATTGCGTATGGCATATTTACACTTAATATAAGAACGATTCGAAACGTTGTAAGCAACATCCGTCGTATACCCTGAGCAATATAAGTCATTCGATAATAATAAAAATAAGAGTATCTTTTTTAATGAGAAGAAGTTTGGTTTTATCGAGACAAAAGATCATTTCAGGAAAATAGTAATTCTCTTACTTGTATGATTTTATATGTTATCTGAAAAGGACGTATATTTTTCGATGTTTTCTTTCTTATGCAGGATTGAGACCAACATTCATGATTACATATACAGTTATATCAAGTAAAAGAGCGGGAAAGTAAAGAATCACAGTGTTTGTAATTTACCGTCAACTAAATTTGGACCATTCTTAAATACTTTCAGTAATATTTCTCTTGCAGATTGACCAGTGAGTGACTCAAGCCAACCACAGAAGATGAGCTATACTTGCTTAGTTGCATTGTCCCCCCCCCACTTCCCCCATTCTACTCCCAACTCGATAAATTTAAACATGAAATTGATACTCGTCATCCACTCCACGTCTATGAACAAATGAAAAACAGGCTCAAATTAAGACACAGCTTTTTACACTCAAGCGAAATACTTAACAACTGAGCTTCTAGTAGCATCTGTCTCTGTGGTGCAGCCACCTCAAAAATATTGAGCACGGGCTCTCTATCAGCCCAAAATAATACCTTTCATAACTATTCCCTAGACTAACCTCTTCTCTAGAATTGGTTTCAGTTACATGTTGACCAATCAAGCAGCATCTTTTGCAGCAGAATGTTTCACTCCCCAGTGTAGTTTTCAAGACTGTCGGTTTTATTAAATAATTCCAGTAGGAGCGTATAACGGATTATGAAGCAATATATATTGCAATGTTTGAACTGGCATATCTCGTGCGAAATGTCGACATTCATTCGGATGCTATGCATTGAAAATTGGTAGTCGTCTGCTTACGTTAATTCCTTTATGCATTTTTTAACATTTAAGTCAGGTTTCTGTATACTATTGCAGCATCAGGTGCTTCCATTACTATTTTACTCATCAATCCGAATTTCTTGAAATTTAAAATTTTCTGAAATTTTCTGAATTCTCATTCTTAAATCCAATTATTTTCCCTGATATTGACAATGATTTCAATTTTTGTTTTACAGGTTCTTTTCAACATTTTCAATATTTCCAGCTTTGTGAGCCCAATTTAATATATATTTTCAATATCTTATTTCTCCTTAGAGGTTACGTATTTCTTATGACCCATATCTGCTTTTATACATTTGAAATTGAAAGGTAATACAATTAGCTATACGACAACATACTCTTGTGTAACTGGTTATTTTCACACACACCCTTGTTCAATTTTAATCGTGTAATTAAACTTTCTCTTTTTAATCGCGTTCCACCTTTCCCTCATTTACTTTATTGAATGTGTCTTCATTTGTATTTCCAATCGCCAACGAATACTTTTGAAAAAGTATTGGCCGAAAGCTACCTAAAGTTTGACGTCTGTGTTGTTTAAAGATATGTTTCAATTCATTGTGTACAAATCCTTTTTTTATATATATATATATATATATATATATATATATATATATATATATATATATATATATATATATATATGAAATTTTTTTTTATTATTATTATTATTATTATTATTATTATTATTATTGTAAGAACAACAACAGCAACGAGGAGGAGAAGATGACTTTTAGGAATTAATTCAAGCATAACTGATCGAATTAGACATTTATGTGGAAAATGTAAATATTTTACTGGTAATTTTATTGAGGAAATGCATTTCAAATAAGAATGAAATGATTTATCATTGTTTGGAATTATGTTGACACTGAACTAAAGCAAATAATAATAATAATAATAATGTTTTATTTATTGTTCTATTCTGTAATTATTTTTGTTGGATTATAATGAAAATTGTTCGAAAATAATTGTTCCAAAAACTTTTATTCAAATTGTAAACTGTTTCAATGGAAATTAATCGAAAGGACAATTAAATAAATGATAATTATACGAAATGCAAAATTCTTTATTGTAAAAGAAATGAAAAAATTTAAAATGAAATAGATAAATGATAATTATTAGAAATACAAATATCGTTAATAAAACAATTTAGCAAGAAGAAAATCCTTATAACCTTAAGTTATCCGATACTGCACGCAAATAGTCAAATACTGAAGAGGACACGTTAAAGGATGTTGCTAATTTTTTGAGTTTTAATTTACGTCACAGTATTCCTTGGCGGTCTTGATATTTTGGCAAACCGCTCTTATTTTTCCAATATGAATGTCTTCTTCTCTTTTAAGAGCGTCTAAGAATTTCCGTATTGTGGAATGATGAGATAACACTTGCTGCAAAAAGCCCTCTGCCATCCTTTAAGGGCGTTATTAGGTCTAGGTGATTCAGCATCGACTCTTTAAAAGCAGGTGCTTATACGTATTTCAAACATAGGTATTTCGATTAATTCTCATTTAGTACAATTGATATTTCGATTAATTTTCATTCAAACAATTTACAATTCAAATAAATGTTTTTTCGTGCAATTTTCTAGATACGTTATCGTGTATTTGAGTATACATCGCAAATATTAATTCTGGAGCCCTCTTTGTTCTTATTCTTATGAATAATAACTCAGCTTGTTTTTTCCCGTCATCATTTTCAATTATTCCGTTTCAGGTTCATAAATTATAATATAAGCATTTACATACTTGATATTGGTTTCTTTATTCGTAATAAAACACATTGAGTTCACTCCTCCTTAGGTGCCGCAACATTACAAGAGATTAGATGACGATGAAAGTACAGTAGTCTGGGAGAGTGTTTTGTTCTAGAGCACTCGACATTATTTAGCTAATGTTATTGCCTTTTTAATTGCATTTGAAAACTGTGTTAATGCCCTGATTAGATTCTACTGATTAGATAGTCATGTCCTAATCATTACATCTAACAGGTACATAGCCTCCAAACGTTCCAAATGATTAAATATTAGATAGCAGCGGAAGTTCCACGACCTGTGTAAACTAAATGTGTTAACACAAGTTATTAACACCATTACACTCACTATACTCGCATACCAAAATTCTGGAGCCGAGCAGCTAAGTGTATACAACTTGAAACAGAAACGTGCAAAATTCAATTTATATCATGTTAGACTATAAATTATATATAGAACAGATATGTGTGAATTATTTATATACATTAAAATCCCTGACGACAGGATTAAGAAGACCTTCCGGATATGAGGAAATGGTTACAAAGTCCGGATATGAGGGATTATATTTATATTAAAACGAAAGAACTGAAATCAGGTTTAACATTTATTTTCAATGTTTTATAATAAATAGAATAAGCTAATGGTGAGTGAAATATAACGGAACTGATTTTAATGAAAAAGAAATAATTTATGCAATGTTAATGAAAATTCATTAAATTAAGTATGCGACGTATGCAAAACAAATAATGAAAAAAAATACATAAGCAACTATCCAAAGTAAATTACTTCAAATCAGAAATGTCAAGTTACATATCACCCAAATGTCAAGTTACATATCACCCAAATGTCAAGTTACATATCACCCAAATGTCAAGTTACATATCACCCAAATAGTTCAAATATACACATCAGACTCATGTCTGGATATGAGGGATTCCACATATGAGTGATTTGCAGATATGAAGGATTCTAGTGAATTTAGAAATTTTAATCAAATTCTTTATCTTTAATGTACATTTTTTGGCTATCTTGTTCTGTTTACTTTATTTCTCTGAGTTTTTTTTTTTCATTTTTGACGGCTCTATTTTTAGCCGTCTAAATATGGGATATTTAAAACGTTGCTTTATATTAAAAGTTAATTAATACAAATCTACAGAGCTTCCCACATTAGATGGTTTCAAAGGATATAGGAACAAGGAGTCTAATTTTTGCTTAAGATATTTAAACACTTATCACAGACTACATGGTTTCGTTTCTAAATCTATCAAAAATTGCAAGTCATCACTGCTCCGACTAGTCGGGGGATGTTTTCCCGATCACGACAATGTTAACCTCTTCAAGTCTACGGTCAAACGTTATTTTCTCCTCTTAAATGTATAAGCTGCCTATTAATGCAATCCTATTTCTCGTGTGGCCCTAGGCCTTGTAGAGAGTGAACGTTAAAGTAAAAATATCGTCTGACACAATTTTCTTATATTTATTGCGATAGATATACAATGTTAAGAAGCAGGAAGACGAGTGTCTTCCCAAAACTCTCTACGTGGTTCTGACTTCCTAAAAAGACAATCTATGTTTACATACCGACTGAGTTGCTGCTACGGAAGAAATACTCAGATTATTTAAAAAGAATTCTCATATAATTTTAAATAAACTATCAACAAGGGAAGGAAATAAGCTGTCGGAGGCATGGAAAGTTATAATCGTCCGGGTAACCTGTCGGAGGCATGGAAGGATATAATCGTCCGGGTGACCTGTCGGATGCATGGCCAGATAAAATCGTCCAGGTAACCTGTCGGAGGGAATGGAAAGATATAATCATCCAGGTAACCTGTCGGAGGCATCGAAAGGTATAATCGTCCGGGTAACCTGTCGGAGGCATGGTCAGATATAATCGTCCGGGTAACCTGTCGGAGACATGGAAGGATATAATCATTCAGGTAACCTGTCAGAGGCATCGAAAGATATAATCGTGTGGGTGAACTGTCGGAGGCATGGAAGGATATAATCGTCCGGGTGACCTGTCGGAAGCATGGAAGGATATAATCGTCCAGGCAACCTGTCGGAGGGAATGGAAAGATATAATCATCCAGGTAACCTGTCGGAGGCATCGAAAGATATAATCGTCCGGGTAACCTGTCGGAGGCATGGTCAGATATAATCGTCCGGGTAACCTGTCGGAGGCATGGAAGGATATAATCATCCGGGTAACCTGTCAGAGGCATCGAAACATATAATCGTGTGGGTGACCTGTCGGAGGCATGGAAGGATATAATCGTCCGGGTAAACTGTCGGAGGCATGGAAGGATATAATCGTCCACGTAACCTGTCGGAGGCATGGACAAATATAATCGTCAAGGTAACATGTCGGAGGCATCGAAAGATATAATCGTGCGGGTAACCTGTCGGAGGCATGGAAGGATATAACCATCCAGGTAACCTGTCGGGGGCATAGAAGTATATAATCGTCCGGGTAATTTGTCGGAGGCATGGAAAGATATAATCGTCCATGTAACCTGTCGGAGGCATGGACAGATATAATCGTCCGGGTAACCTGTCAGAGGCATGGAATGATATAATCGTCTGGGTAAACTGTCGGAGGCATCGAAAGATATAATCGTCCGGGTAGCCTGTCGGAGGCATGCAAGGATATAATCGACCGGGTAACCTGTCGGAGGCATGGAAGTATATAATCGTCCGGGTAATTTGTCGGAGGCATGGAATGATATAATCGTCCGGGTTAAATTTTGGTAACATGTGAAACCCAGGGTAACAAATTCACATCAGTCTAACTATATATATATATATATATATATATATATATATATATATATATATATATATATATATATATATATAGGTGCAGTAGTGTAGCGATTTTTTACATGTTGTGGATTTAATATGGTAAAATAAATAATATATACATATATGCATATATACATAAAATCACTTTCTATTACACCCAACGTTTTGCGTTTGTTTATTTTTGAAAATAGTAATATAGCGTTCTTTAGTTTATTTTTGAAAAAAGTAAACGTTTAGGAGTCATTTTCTATTAAAAATCGCCTGAGAATAACATATGGTTGAAACCAACGTAGTGGGTCTCAACTGACATCCTGAATTCTGAACTTAAAATCTCTACACGTTATTTTTATTTTTATTTTTCCACACGTGTATTGAGCACTTATTAATAGAACTATTTCCTGGTCTGATTCAACTCTGACCATTAATCTTTAGTTTTTATGTGTATGTGTGTGTGTGTGTGTGTACACGTGTGCACGGATTTGGCTTCGATAATGTTTAATAATTTATGATATTCGACTCATGGATTATTTTGATGTTGCTTGTAAGGATCTGTGTAATGTTACTGTAGGTCTGACCGTACTTGTTAATAGTATAGTCATCTATTTAAGACAAAAATCATTCAGCAACCTATTGGCAGCCTAAAGTTTTTCCATGCAAAAATTCAAACTGATTAGCAGCGTTTATATTGAATTATGAAATTCACAAAAGCGTAAAACCTTCCCTTGATTTGTAAATAGTTTACGAAGAGGGAAGAACTGGTTTTGTGTAACTACCTACAATAATTCGCTGAAAAAATACCATACTATGATGAAAAAGGTTCCTGAAGTGAATAAAAATCAAAAGTTTTTGCGTCAAAATTTATACGTTATTATTAAGTGGAAAGACGAATATATTTTGGAATATGTTATTAAATTTTAAATTCTTTCTAGTTTGTCCAACACTTTGGTTAAAAATCTTGTTTTTACTTCGTCAGCAGGGTAGTGAAGTATTAAAAGTGGTTGGTTTTCTTTCAATGAAATAACTTGTAACCAACAAAGTATTCTGGCTCATTATTTCTCGAACTGGACAGATGACTCACCATATTCCTGTCAGCTACTCTATGCAGCAAATCTGACCAAAAACATCATTATTCCCTATCAAAATGATAGGTTTAATAAACGGTAAGACATGAAGACAATAACTTCGATTGCAATGTATTTCTTTACTTATTTAAGGTATTCTCTTGCATTGTGTGAGTAGGATGGTATGTGACACTTGGGGACAACTTCTGCCAGTTCTGCCATCGCTTGTCTAGCAACATATATTGGCGGCATTGGCACTGCCTCAAAGCTCAGTTCTCACCCGGTAACGGCTAGCACATAACTACTACACTGCCAAACCTGACTGTTAACAAATAGCTGAGGCCAAATATTTTCAAAGCCCCGGTTTCATTCATTTACCTATTAGTTATCCGAGATAAAATATAAACGTTCACGTCGATTTCTTTATAATAATGGCAGGAACTTATTCATTTAATAATATATACACACGAAAACAGAATTCACATGGCCTGAAATTTGTTTCCGAGCTTGTAACAGACTGTCGCCGCATAGTGTTGACCTCCGTGTCTACACACACATACACACTCATACACACACATGCATATATATGCATGTAATATATATATATATATATATATATATATATATAAATTATGTATGTTTAATATAGGTACGCTGCTTATTGGAAAGCGCTCAATATCAGTGATTGAGCTAGCATATATAGTTGAATGAATATGAGTTTGTGACCATCGGTTTCACGTTTATACGACTACTCAGGTTAGTCTTGTGATTGCATAAGAGTGAAAGCGACGATCAGAAATTTATATTCATTCAAGTAAACATATATATGTGTGTGTGTGTTTGTGCACAAAGGTAAAAGAAAATAGGAAAACTGTATTAATAGCCGACGCGTTTCGTCCAATGTGGCAAGGCAAAAAAGAAATTAATTTATTAAAAATCAAAGTAACTATTAACAACAAAACAAAATGACTTTAGCAACTAGAAGAATTTATATTGTATTCATATTGACAACTAAAAATTACGTCAAGTACTATCACGTGTGGAATTATTGTTTTTTTATTGTTTTTGCCTTTTATTGTCTTATAAATATTGTCTCTTTCTACAGGTTAACTCAGATAATTTTCACACACACACACACACACACACACACACACACACACATATATACACAAACACACACACACACATATATTATATTATATTATTTCTCTGTCCTGGACATTGCGTTTTATCTGGATTCTATCCTCTTGGAAACTTTTATATGTATGTGAATGTAGGCATGTATATATATATATATATTTATATATATATATATATATATATATATATATATATACATGATACTATATAGTCTTAAATGAAAAACGGCAATGGCAAAACTTTCGTCTAAGGCGATGTATCTCGTCCAATGTCCGTTTTTTTCAAGGGAAAAAATGAAATGAATTTATTGAAAAAAGTTTCTATAAATAACAAAATAAAACAATTCTGAAACGTTATAGTATATTCATATGATCAGCTGAAAAATTACGTCAATTACTTTATGTTTGAAGAGAATATTTTCACATGTATAAATATTGTTTGTATTATTGTGTTAACAAATTCTTTTGATTTCTTCATATATTTATTGTGTACGTTGGGTTAACGTAATTTCTCATGTGTGAAGTATCATCGGCGTAACATTTCATTGAATATTATTATAAGTTCTATTGAAATGCACATGCAAGATTGTTTAAAGTATAACATTTCCCCGCTTTCATTGAATGGTGCAACATTTGTTTCAGAAAAGGCGTTAATTTGATGAGGAAAATGCAAGAGTTAGTCAACAAAAATTATCAATAGATGCGAATGCGGACAAAGCTCCGATGCTCCCAGAACGATGTTTAAACTTAGAACTAATTGGAAAATTTATGGACAGGCACACGGAATATGAATAGAGATCATTTTCGGCAAAACTTTACAACAGAATTTACGAATAAGAAAAATTATCCTCAAACACTTTGCTTCCAATATTAACTTATTCGCTAAAAACATTATCGCCATCATTTTTCATCTGATCGTTTCAACAGTGTTGATATATTCGTCAGGGTGGAACTGTTGCTGACAACAAAACGGCCCGTTATAGAGTGGAAATCAAAGTATTCACCTCAGCCGAAAAAAAAGTACATATTTTCGCAGTTGAAACCAATGCTTTTACGTTACTTCAACCATAGGAAGTACTTTATGACAAATGCTTATCACAAGAACACACTGCCAATCAGGATGTTTCCTTGAAAGTGTTGTAAGTGTTACGGGAATCTGTTTAAAGACATGAACATTGATCTAAGGGATCGGTCCTTTGCTTCATCCACATTATTCACTAGAAATATACAAATGATTTTTTAGCTACTTCCAAAATTGAAAAAAAAACACCTTATGACACAAAGATTAGCTGGCATACATACATACACATACATACATACATACATGCATACATACATATATATATATATATATATATATATATATATATATATATATATATATATATATATATATATATATATATTAAAACTGTAATTTACTTCTGAATGTTATTTCGCAATATGTCTTTCAGTGAAGGCAATATAACTGTACAACAACATGGGACTAAAATATATATATATATAAAATTACATATTCAACATAATTACTGAAAATAATTTCTTCTCCGGCTTTTCCGAACTCGAAAGCTGTAAATGAAAATGCATCAAAATCTGTCTGCAGTCATAGAGTCGAAAAGAAGGACACCTAAATATTGCATTACAACAAAATCAACCAATCAAGAAACAGCCTTTGCAATTACGAGCAGCGACTATCGACAATAAAAAAAGTGCTCACATTGGAAACCATGTCTATCTTTTCCAATTTTCTCGTTTTGATGGTTAGTCGATTAAACGACAGGAATTAACTGCCTTGCTCAGGAGACACTAGTTTTATAATGATGAGATATGGACGGCCCTCATGTTATGGAAATGGAACAGGTTTCACATCCACATTTAAGTATGTGTGTAAAATTATTTGTTAATCTACATTGAGAGACTTCAAATAAATAAACCTTTTAATCCCCCCCATCTGATACGGTGTTTTCTATATTACTCAACTAGTTGTTCAATTAAGAGAAACAGACGCCACATCATTCAAGCAAAAATAAGTACGCGTATACAACCGAACTTGCTACCACTAGGAATACATTAAATTGCTAATCTACATGTTATCAGACCTCAATACCAGACCTACCACATTCTATGCAATATCATCGTCATCTCAAAATGGTCATCTGTTAACTATCCTCTTCATCGTCATAATCGTCACTTCATATCAAATCATGTTTCTCTCATATCACACCGCATTCCTCTGAAACATTTAAAAAAATAACACTCTACCTTGAGCGCTATGGTGCCTTAAATTAGATGAAGTTTAGTGAATAAGAAAGATACATTAATGAAAATGTTATATGTTGATTGTAAACTAGGGAATCCCATCAGTGACCGAATTTTCTCACTGTTATTCATTAATAATGACTTCCCTGGAGTTTTCGTCAAGCTGTAAATCAAGTTTCCGAAAACTAGTGCAAATGTTAATTAGTGGGCAAAATTGTTTATATTCCAATATTCTCTGTCTCATAGAATACAAAAGGAGAGAGAACGCGGGTTGCCCGAGCTCTGCGGTGTTATGAGATCCGAGGTGATAGAATCGGAAGCGATGTTGGTTCTGCAGATTGAAGAATGTCATCTAAGACATTACATGTATAATCCTTCATCTACTATCGTCCAAATATTTTTCGAATGGTCCATTTGCGGAAATACTGGACGATTGCCTGAAAAACGGTCAACAGTGAAGACGTGCAGAGTGAATGGAATGTCTTCTATGAAGTTATCCAGTCGGTAATGAGAGCTCTTTGATTGAACCCAATTACTTCATTGAAAATGAGCGTTTGAGTACATACTTCAAACATCCTGAATATTTTATTTTCGACAAAAAATATCGTGTTATTTACATCGGTCAGTCCCATTACTCGTCTCGATTTCCTTTCCTGAATCTTCTATCTTTACTTATTTTTGTAATGCTTAAATTACAGTTGTAACTTCCTGGAAAAAGTCAATATAAAATGCAAAAAAGCAGGTGAAGACAATTGATAGAAGAATTTACAGGCTGTTTTGAAAAAGAAGAGAGGTTTTTTTATGTGAGTTCTTGAAACGGAAAAATATATCAGCGCACAATTCAGTATTTTTGTGTTTCTTTTTTTTTCTAATGTCTACCCATTACAAGTCGCAAGAGCCACTTCATATAGAGGGTTACTATATGGATTTCTATTAGCGTAAAAAAAGGCAAGCGCTAGGAGTATAGAGTTGAAGTAAATTTTGGAAGATACCGGAAACCAAATCCTAAACAGGAAACAAGGAATAAACCTATACTCATGTTCGAAAGACCGGGGAGCCGCAAGAACTGGAGGAGAGGCGAAACTATCTACTTCTTTTGATGGAGGAGAAAAAACTAAACAAAATGTAAAATAAAATAAAGAGTTAAGGAATATCATTTCAGAGTCCAGACGCAGAGGTTAGGAGTACAGAGTTAAAGCAGATTTTAGAAGGAACCAAAATCCAATCCTAAGAAAGGAAACAAGAGATACACGTCTACTTCCGTTCGAAAGGCCAGGAAGAAGTGTGAACCGGACGATAGGTTAGAAACAAAAAATGTAAAATAAAATAAATTATTAGTGAATAAAATATCAAAGTAGACACGCAGCCGTTAATACAGAAATGGAAAAAAAACTTTAGAAGGATCTGGAAACCCAATCCTAAATAAGAAACAAGGGATAAACCTCTATTCCTGTTTAAAAACAAGAGAGGAGTGTGAACTGAACGATAGTCGAACATATCTACCCCTTGTGTAAAGTTAAGTCAATTGTAAGTATTGTAAGGCCATTATAATGTTAATAAAAGCTAAATGATACCCAGATGCTATCTTTTTACTGTAAAACTCAGAAAATGTATGTCGTTCAAGATAATATATTCTGAAAGTTATATAAAGGATATTCATCCATATATTATTTCGTATCAGTTACGTGAACATCAAATTTGAAAAATCTATTAGTATTTAAATGCCGGTAATATCGAAAGTATTAAAACGAAATCATTTAAACCTACACTGGAAGAAGATATTCTAAATCTACACTGGAAGAAGATTTGTAAACCTCTCAAGACAATATACCATTTAATGATGTATTAATTTTACGCTGAACAAAAAAAATTATACCGTATGTTAATCCGAATAGAATAGAAATATGAAAAAAAAAAAACATGTTTATAGCTTTCGGTTTCCCCCGGATATTGAAATAGAAATTTCCATTGGTAAGATTTCATTTTGTGTTCATAAATAAGGCGAATAAAAAACATTAGTATTTTGCAGAAATCCTTCATTATATTCAATATAAGGATATTCCATTGAGATCACGTTTCATTTGGATTATAGCAACAAAGTTTTAATCACTATTGTTTATATGGCAATGAAATTTCCATTGTAAAAATGTATTTCTAAAACCTCAGCTTTGAAACTAATGCACGGTCAAAATTTGCTCACGTTCCACAGAGTAAAAGCTTGGATTTAAGAATCATGTTACAATTTTAACTTACTCTGCAAAAATACATTTAAAAGATTTTCGTACACTATTTATGAAAGGCTCAGTCATTTTATGCAGCATTAAAATCAAGAAGACATGATGCATAGTTGTTAGTAAAAGGATGACCTCAAAATGCAAATTACAAATCGGAGATAAAACTAAATAAATAGATACCTGAGAAATGTTCTAATAGAGAATTGAAATCCGAAGGTCCATTGCGGTAGCTAAAGATGAATCCCAAGATATAAGCAGAGGATCAACAAACAATAAAATTCTTTTAGAAACAAAGAAAAGAGTATTGAAATGTTACGTGATATATGTCCCCTATATGGCATTAAATGCTAATAATTCTCTTCACACATGGAGAGGAGACTCAAAGTAACAGAAATCTGGTTCTTCAGAAGGTTGTCGAAGACACTTTTACCCGAATATGTGAGCAACGACTAAGTTTCTGAAAAAATGGAAACAAAAAGGAAACTTATACTTTACATCAGAAGAGACAGTTGACATTATATATCATATGAGGAAAGAACGCTCGGAACATCTTATACACACAGGACAGATTGAAAGCAATGGGCGACAGTGAAAAACAACGCAAAACATCCTTGAGCTTAAATTAATACGTGAGCTTGAGTGTATGGATTAAAACAAAAAAGACACAATTTATTAAGGCTACAATGGACAGTGAATTGTAGAGAGCCATGAACGTATACGTACTGAAGGGACACAGCAGATAAAGAAGAATTTATAGGTAAAAATCATATTTTGCTGCGAGATCATACACCGGCGGATTACATGATTTATAGAAACATTAGTTTTCGCCTAACAACCGACGCTTGGTCAGTACTAAGTTGGGTGACCGCTTCTAAATACCAGTTGCTCTGTATTTGAATGAGTGTCGACGGTGTAACTGATAAAAGCTCGGAAAAAATTGGAGATTAAAGTTCAAATTTCAGTCGGAGTAGTTACATTCACTTACACACAAATACACTTGGGCGATTATAAATCGAAAAGTGACATGGCCGCCCAAGCGTATTAAGCCTTTTTACATTCAACCCTATCAAAACGAATAAGGTCAGAATCTGGCGAAGGCATACGTCCAACCCTGGATTTTCAAATTCTAAGAAGATGAATTAAGACGTATTCACGAATACCGAAATTTGTACAGATAAACCATGCTGTCCTCATGGTGACAATTGTGTGAACAGTAATCACAATATTAATGTGAATGCCTCTGACGACTTGGGAATATTAAATTGCTGATTCCATTATTGTAGCTAAATATGGTGAGGCTCACCGTACATCCAAACATATTTTTACAGGTTTACATATTAAAACCTTGGTAGGAAAATGTCTCGATAAACTACGGTATGCATAAATGTTTATTATAAAGTTGCCTGGTTTTAAAATGTTAGACGGAGGTCAGATAAAAAAAAGTCCGAATCTATTTTTTTCCTTACATGCAATTTCATTGGAAATTTAATCATTCGGATATATGTCGTCATTAAAAAACGAAGATAAATGGTTTTAGCTTCTATTTCGTATTCATTTATTTTGTGCTATTTTCGGCTGACCCACTACCAGAAAAGTATAGAGAATGAATTACTCTCAGATATATTTAATTATTTTGTTTGGAATGATTTTCGTCATGTTGAAATGTTTCAAACGCCCGCCTCGTAAAACTCTGATAATATTAACACCTACAAAGAGAAATATCAAAAAAAAAAAAAAAAAAAAAACAAAAACTAATAGTTGCTTATATTTCTTTTTTATTTTTAAAAAAAAAAAAAAAATACGATAAAAATTGAGGTATTTCACTCAGTGCGCAGATTTTAGGGAAATTAAAATTTAAGTGTAGCTGAGGAAAGAAAGATAGCGTTAAAAGGAAATTAAAGATATTGGAAACATGCCCTCAAAAACAGATTTCATTGCATCATTTTAAGTAGAAATGTATTGAACCAACAGGAGAATAAGATAAATTACAAATAACATACAAGTATACAATAATTTATCTGATACCCTTGGGATCACTCAAAATGGAATATGACATTTCTTCCATTACGGAATTGAAGTGCAAAAACGGTATATAGTAATGATAATGGAGAAAGTAACTGTTTCCATGCAGGAGACATTCGACAAATTAACCTTTTCCCCGAAAGAGACTTTCGACGAATTAACCTTTTCCCCGAAAGAGATATTTGACAAATTAACCTTTTCCCCGAAAGAGACTTTTGACGAATTAACCTCTTCCCCGAGAAAAGACAAAGACTTTCGACAAATTAACCTTTTCCCCTGAAAGAGACTTTTGACGAATTAACCTTTTCCCCCGAAAGAGACTTTTGACGAATTAACCTTTTCCCCGAAAGAGACTTTCGACAAATTAACCTTTTCCCCGAAAGAGACTTTTGACGAATTAACCTTTTCCCCGAAAGAGACTTTTGACGAATTAACCTTTTCCCCGAAAGAGACTTTCGACGAATTAACCTTTTCCCCGAAAGAGATATTTGACAAATTAACCTTTTCCCCGAAAGAGACTTTCGACGAATTAACCTTTTCCCCGAAAGAGACTTTTGACGAATTAACCTTTTCCCCGAAAGAGACTTTCGACAAATTAACCTTTTCCCCGAAAGAGACTTTTGACGAATTAACCTTTTCCCCGAAAGAGACTTTCGACAAATTAACCTTTTACCCGAAAGAGACTTTTGACGAATTAACCTTTTCCCCGAAAGAGACTTTTGACGAATTAACCTTTTCCCCGAAAGAGACTTTTGACGAATTAACCTTTTCCCCGAAAGAGACTTTCGACGAATTAACCTTTTCCCCGAAAGAGACTTTTGACGAATTAACCTTTTCCCCGAAAGAGACTTTTGACGAATTAACCTTTTCCCCGAAAGAGACTTTCGACAAATTAACCTTTTCCCCGAAAGAGACTTTTGACGAATTAACCTTTTCCCCGAAAGAGACTTTTGACGAATTAACCTTTTCCCCGATAGAGAATTTGACGAATTAACCTTTTCCCCGAAAGAGACTTTTGACGAATTAACCTTTTCCCCGAAAGAGACTTTTGACGAATTAACCTTTTCCCCGAAAGTGACTTTTGACGAATTAACCTTTTCCCCGAAAGAGATATTTGACAAATTAACCTTTTCCCCGAAAGAGACTTTCGACGAATTAACCTTTTCCCCGAAAGAGACTTTTGACGAATTAACCTTTTTCCCCGAAAGAGACTTTCGACAAATTAACCTTTTCCCCGAAAGAGACTTTTGACGAATTAACCTTTTCCCCGAAAGAGACTTTCGACAAATTAACCTTTTCCCCGAAAGAGACTTTTGACGAATTAACCGAATTTTTCCCCGAAAGAGACTTTTGACGAATTAACCTTTTCCCCGAAAGAGACTTTTGACGAATTAACCTTTTCCCCGAAAGAGACTTTCGACTGATTAACCTTTTCCCCGAAAGAGACTTTTGACGAATTAACCTTTTCCCCGAAAGAGACTTTCGACAAATTAACATTTTCCCCGAAAGAGACTTTTGACGAATTAACCTTTTCCCCGAAATCGACTTTCGACGAATTAACCTTTTCCCCGAAAGAGACTTTTGACGAATTAACCTTTTCCCCGAAAGAGACTTTTGACGAATTAACCTTTTTCCCGAAAGAGACTTTTGACGAATTAACCTTTTCCCCGAAAAAGACTTTCGACGAATTAACCTTTTCCCCGAAAGAGACTTTTGACGAATTAACCTTTTCCCCGAAAGAGACTTTCGACGAATTAACCTTTTCCTCGCAAGAGACATTCGACAAATTAACCTTTACCCCGAAAGAGACATTCGACAAATTAACCTTTACCCCGAAAGAGACATTGAATAAATTAACATTTTCCCTGAAAGAGACATTCAATAAAATAACCTTTTCCCCGAAAGAGACATTCAGTAAATTAACCTTTTCCCCGAAAGAGACATTCAATAAATTAACCTTTACTCCGAAAGAGACATTCAATAAATTAACCTTTTCCCCGAAAGAGACATTCAGTAAATTAACCTTTACCCCGAAAGAGACATTCAATAAATTAACCTTTTCCCCGAAAGAGACATTCAGTAAATTAACCTTTACCCCGAAAGAGACATTCAATAAATTAACCTTTTCCCCGAAAGAGACATTCAGTAAATTAACCTTTTCCCCGAAAGAGACATTGAATAAATTAACCTTTACCCCGAAAGAGACATTCAATAAATTAACCTTTTCCCCGAAAGATACATTCAATAAATTAACCTTTTCCCCGAAAGAGACATTCAATAAATTAACCTTTACCCCGAAAGAGACATTCAATAAATTAACCTTTTCCCCGAAAGAGACATTCAATAAATTAACATTTTCCCCGAAAGAGACATTCAATAAATTAACCTTTTCCCCGAAAGATACATTCAATAAATTAACCTTTTCCCCGCAAAAACTTTCGACGAATTAACCTTTCCTCGCAAGAGCCATTCGACGAATTAAACTTTCCCCACATTAGACATTCAATGAATTAACCTTTTCCCCGAAAGTGACATACGACAAATTTACCTTTTACCCGCCAAAGACATCCGACAAATGAACCTTTTCCTCGTAAGAGGCATTCGACAAATGCACCTTTTCCCCGCCAGAGACTTTCGACAAATAAAACTTTACCCAATAAGAGACATTAAATAAATTAACCCTTTTCCCGCAAATATATTCGATAAGTTAAACTTTTCCCCACAAGTGGCATTCAATAAATTAACCTTTTCCCCGCAAAAACTTTCGGCAAATTAACCTTTCCTTAGCAAGAGACATTCGACGAATTAATCTTTCCCCGCAAGGTGACATTTAACGAATTAACCTTTTCCCCGCAAGAGACATTCGACAAATTAATCTTTTTCAAGCAGAGGACTTTCGACATTAAATACCAGAACATTTAAATTTACTATCAGTCCATTATCATAAAATGTTTTTCTTAATATTTCTCTTAAGTTCACTAAAATTATAATAATTTTTTTGCATAAATATATCTTGCAAATTTTAGGTGAAACACATCAATATATATATATATATATATATATATATATATATATATATATAGATAGATAGATAGATAGATAGATAGATAGACAGATATCAAAATGTATGTATAAGAATGTATAATTACTTTCTAAGCTTAGCACAATTATGGTGAAGAAATAGATCATAAACGAAAATGACATTTTCATAATTAACCATAGCTAAGGATCGAAAGTTCATGAAGGATCGAAATAAAGTTCATATATATATATATATATATATATATATATATATATATATATATATATTTCAGGATAATTTTCCCACTTATTCAAGAAAACCTTCGTCATCTAACCTTATAACCATCTTTAATGGAGTAACAAAATGCCTCAGTGTTTTCACGTACGATTTCATTTTCAAGTCTTTTTTCACGGCCCTCTGGTGGGTCATCGGTGAAACTCTTCTCTCACGAGCAAAACGTCTTATGGGTTGAATTGGATCTTTTTTTAATTGATCCCTTTATCTGTAAATTGGAATGATGATCCTTCTTCCAGTTGTGAACCGCTGTTTTCCTCTCAAATGTTCCAACATTTTAATATTATTCACCATTATCTTGATTGTTCTTGAATGAACTTTGAAGACGGAAGCCAGAGTATGAATTCTGGTACCATTACTGAAGGCCTGATGGATCATCTTACTCTCTCCATTTAGAAAGACAGTTGGGGCTGAAACAAAACGATTTTAACCATTTCTATTTCTAACTGAATAACTCAAAAGCATTTTCAGTCATTTCTTTAAAAAATGGTGTCAAGGCGGTTAGCCGCTTCATCAGAAACACTAAAAAACAAACTCAATTAGTTTAGTGTTTTCTCTTTTAGATATTAAATATTTTTTGAGATGGACACTTATATTCTAACACGATTTCGACAATTTTGCTGTTACGCCCGTTATATTGGGAGGGGGTGGGCAAACCGGCAGAATACAGATAGCAAATGAATTCAGTAAATATACAAAAGTAGAAACGGGTGTGACATAAGTATTATTTTCTTACAGGAGTTATTCAATCCATACAGCAAGACGATGCTGAGAGAATTAGAAGTCCTAGAGAGATTCATTATTGCCGGCCACAATCTTCATGTTGTTGAAAAGAAACTGCAAGAAGGTTCTGAATAAACGCAAGAAGACAGAATGCATTGTTTTCAGGTATAGCGAATTATGTCTTTTAAAGCTAGTCAAAATATTAAGAAAGCGGAAAGGATCGTTAAAAACAAAGGGAATTATACTAAACTGTTATGTAATATCAGTCCTCCTATATGGCACTGAATCCTGGAACTTCTCTGTACAGATGAAGAAGAAACTTGATGCAATCGTAACATGGTTCTACAGAATGATGCTGAAAATACCAGGAACTGAACATGCGTGAAACGACGAAGCTTTATAGAAACTGGCGTCAAGAAGATTACTTATACTTGGCATCAGAAAAAAACAGTTGAAATTTCTAGGGCTCAAAATGAGGACAGAGGGCTTAGGAAATGTCATACTCACAAACCATATTAAATATAAGAGGGACAGAGGAAAACAGCGTATAGCATACATAACGAGCCTGTGTAAGGGTTCAGAAGAAATAGCAAAAAGACAATATTTGGCAAGAACAACAAATGATCAGCAACATCCTGAAGGGACATGACATAAAGAAGAAGAAGAAGAAGAAGAAGAAGAAGAAGAAGAAGAAGAAGAAGAAGAAGAAGAAGAAGAAGATAACTTTTTAGGATGATTTCAACGAAAAAAAATTACACAATTAAAATCAAGATATAGATTATAGAATTAGTTTTCTGATTGGAATTCTTCCAAAGCGTACCTGGAGTCATTCACGACAATCACCATTCTCTCACAGTTTTGAACAACGATCATGCTGAAGTCAAAAAAATCCACTGTTTTCGAATGTTACATTTGAAAGGCAGGTATTAATTATAACCAAAATTAGTATAAAAAAGTATAGATTATGGTCTATGTATGGAAATCAATATTCAAAAAAGCAATCGAAAGTAAAATTAAAGCAAAACCAAATCAACTTCATCTTTTTGGAAACGAATAATTACATATAACTGTCGTGAAGTGATGCATGCTAAGTGAATGTTTGCTGAAATAGCAATGAATTAAATTGGGGCATAGTGGGTATGCATATCAAAATGACTTCGCTAGTTTTCTTGTAACGCAATTATATATTGGACATGATACTGAACGATATTACACCTACATCAGTGTTGCCTGAGGATATGTATATGTATCCATAATGGCATTGAGCCAAGGACTCGAATTGAATGATAGTTAAAAGAGTCGATATTGAATTCTCCGCCAAATGGACACTTACGTAGCTAGGCTTCGTGTCGTACTCCTGATATATATATATATATATATATATATATATATATATATATATATATATATATATATATATATATATATAACATACAATCTTCCTAGGATACAAGTAAAATTATTTTAGCATCAAATATTCAGAGAGGTTTAATAGAGACGATAGAAAATAAATAAAATTACATTATGATTAATACAAATATTATATACACGCAATTTTGTAGTTCGCTGGAGATCTGCTTCGACCTTTCAAGGTTACAGTGTGTAATTTTATAGAATCTCGCCCATAAATGAATGTCTATTTGCCACTTTCCTATATAAAAATAATTTTCTCGTCAAGCAACATTTTCATTCTTTCTAGCGGAATGTTTTTTTTATATTATTCTTCACCCAATACAAACCCCAAGAGAAACTCAAATTAGTGGGTTGATGATTGAAGTTGTAGTAAATTTATAAAGAGATGAAGTAAGAATTACATGCAATAAGTATATGTCGGAGAGATAACGGTGGATTCTAAACCTGAAGAAATTAAAATCGTAGAGACATAGGAAGCATCAACACGGGAGCCTGTTCGACGAATTAACTGCTCAGAGGAAGAAGTTGTCTGAGTGGAATTTCCTTCTCGTTAATGGAGTAAGAAAATAATAAAGAGGATTTAATTTAATGATTTACCCATATATATTATTCTTTATGAAACAGGTATATGTACCATGTGAAAAGTTGTGGTGTGATGATCATCGGCTCGGACTGCTAAATCGAAGAGCCGAGTTTGAATTCGGGCACGTCAAATTCATTTACGCGCAAATACCATTTTGAAGTGCATGAATTCCTTACTTCTTCCAGCAGTTATAGGTGGAATTGAAGGACAGACTGGGTTCTATAGCCTTGGTAGGCAACCGGTCTACACAGAAAGAAACGACAGCTCCCTGCGGGGAAGTATTTAGTAATGAATAAAGAGACATGATCACTCAAACGTACATTTTGTCTGACTCTTAACTGACTGGGAAATGCCCATTGATACAAAACAATAATGTGTGTAACAGTATAGGATTCTAATCAACTCTAAATTAACCCAATTAGTTCTTAATGTTTATTTTTTGAGCGACAGTCGACATTGATGTGAACCTCGTGTACGCGGTATGGTGGATTCTAGTTGTGATTGTCTGAACAGGTGGAATTAAGGAATGATGTTCGCCTAACACATCACATTGAAATAGCGTGTAATGATACTTTCTAAACATTGAACGCTGTCAAGTTTGGGGAGTCAGGTCTTGCGAGCACCCAACACAGAAATGACAGCAATTCTCAATTTTTGGTCTATGTCAACGACATAATGTACAGCAAGATTCACCTGTAAACTCTGCGTGCAGTATAGGGCCAGAGCCTCACTCTGCTAGTTACGATTGCTGTAGCTGGTTTTATCTATAGAGTTTGACCTGCACCAAGACATTTTTCGATTAATGCTTGTCCTAGAATGTTTTAATGATTGATAGCCCAAGTTAAACCGAGTTGTTTGTCCATTGCTAGAGGAAGAAAAAATAACATATTTTTCATAAAGGTAATCTGGCGAATGTGAACTTAGCAGACAGGAAAAACAGGAAATTGAACAGGACAGTCTGTTCCAAATTTCTGCTCCGATAGACGCTACGCTACGCACCAATTATATATAATTAAAATGAAAAGCCTGGATCTATGTTGCCACAACCGTTCTGCAGAGTTCGAACGTGAATATTACCTTACAATACCGTTTATATATTTTTCAGCTGAACGTAATAAAATATACAACTATGTTTAGATTAGAAGATCGTAATATTCTCACGAAAACAGAAAGAAAAGTTGTATAAACTGATGGACGATAGCGTAACATAATTAGTTTTAAGTAAATAATAAAAATCTACGAAAAAACTTAGAGGAAAGTCGAAAGTAATTGGCAAATTGAGATGGTTCTCGAGTTTAAATAAATATTTTCATGGACATACTGTCAGGATTTTTTTTTATTTTTGAAAAATTACCATTTCTCTCAAAAAAAAAAAAAATGTCAGAATTGGGTGAAGATGCAGGGAAGATAATTTAGGCAGCTTGAAAGGTTGAAAGCCGGAGAAAAGAGAAAAATTGCGAAACAGCATATCTAATTAGAACAGGTTTTTTTTATAGTTTCTGATCACTAATATTTTCACTTCATATTAGTATATCACGCTAGTAACATGCAAACAAATACACACACACACACACATATATATATTTTTATACAAATTTATATATATATATATATATATATATATATATATATATATTACATATTTAGGAGAAATGTATATATATATATTTATTTATATATATGTGTGTGTGTGCGTGTGAATCAAAACAAAGAAAAAAATTATTTTTATTCATATTGTTGTCCTTTTCCACATATATTTTAGTTATAGCCGTAATTGGTATGTATACACAACAATTTTATTTATATATATATATATATATATATATATATATATATATATATATATATATATATATATATTTAAATGAAAAAACAGACCACATTGAGGTACCATTATAATAATTTATTTCACCAGAGTCCTTTTAAAAGGACGCCGGATCATCAGATAGCACTACCAACAACGAAATGAAACGAAAAAAAATCTTTTTTTTTTTCATTTCGTTTGTTGGAATTTCTGATGATCCGCGTCCTTTAAAAGGACTCTGGTGAAATAAATTATTATAATGGTACCTTAAAGTGGTCTGTTTTTTAAAATATTAGCTCTGGATTTACATTGAGCTCTCAGGATTTCTTCCTCCTTGGTATTACCCATACGGATTACCAAGTTCTTCATATATATATATATATATATATATATATATATATATATATATATATATATATATATATATATATGTAGATAGATAGATAGATAGATTTGTTCAATGCAAAATTATTTCTTCCAAAATTTTAACATGTCCCTCTATTGCGAAGTCAAAATGCCTCTACGCATGAGATCACATTTGCTATATGCGTTTATTGAAACTAAATTTTAATTGTTCCGTGGCCTCGTCTGGCAACATTAACGGAAACGCAAACAGTGATTTCGTCTTTTGCCTAGTTCTTTACAGAAAGTGTATTTAGAAAAATATTCATTAGTATGCGTGTATGCGTAACTATTAAAGTCATGAAAATGGTTAAAATCATGAAGAGTCCTTGGTTCTGGATTAAACAGCAAGGTAGACTGGCCCATTTGAACTGTTCCTTTGAAATAGCGTACCTTTGACAGTACAATTTGTTGTTCATGATGACGGTCGTCTTCGAGTATAGAATCCAGTGGTTAGCAGTGAATATTTCGAACACAGTAGGAAAGCGTTGTTCAGGTTAGCAGTGGATATTTTGGTAAAATGTAGCAGAGCATAGTTCTTCCTTCTGTTTCTATTCGCTTGACTAGCTGGACTGGACATTCGGATAGAGTAGACGAAATGGCCGCCTTTATACACGACAGATTGAATGTTCTACGTCTTCTGATTTGTTAACCTTCTATTGGTGGACTATAAAGTGAGTCATTTGGATTGGCTCACTAGTACATATACACAAAAAACTGCAACACGAATGAAGAAGGCATGAGAATTGATCGGCCGAAATTTAAAGGAACAATATCTAAACGGTTTGGGATAATTAATAAAAAGAATAGTCCTTAACATATTCCAGAACGAACAATTCACTATATCAGATATTTTATAAAACACAAACATTTTACAATAAGTTTAATGGTAATGGACTAGTGCCATATTTGTAAATACTTAAGGATAAATGTGGGTAAATCAGACATAATGTCATTTTTAAGATTGCGCAAGAAAAAATAAACAAAAGTGATGCGCTGACGCGGTAATATACGTGTGCGCATGGGATGACGTGTAGTTCGTCCCTGCACAGCATTCCACGTTTCAAACGCAGGGCAGCGAGCAACAAGTTCAGACGTATGGACACTCCACTCAGGGATTGCCACATTGCGTAACAATGCGCTGTTATGTTGGCGCAATATAGAGCCTGTACAACGAATCAATGAAAGATGTAAGATTTGTGTGAACAATTTAACTCCCAGAGAACAAGTAAAATTAACGAAAATCACACACAAAAGAACACATTAAGAGAGTAGCTGACTTGATCAATGAAAACCGATGAATCGTGTTTGCACATGCGGGCATCGGCTATGGGTCTAGATGTGACATAATGCATGATGTTTTTTATTATCGTAAAATTGCTGCACGCCAGTTGCCCATACAAACAGTGCAGATGTAGTTACTTGAGAAAGCGAAAAAAATCTATCAGATCGATCAATATGAATATTGAAAATATAAAACATGAAAATGTCTGAAATTAAGAATGTCAAGAAACAGAATTAAGAAAAAATTAAAAAGGTAATAAAAAAAAGAAAATAATTCGACTAGCAAATATTTTTCGAAGATGTAGTATCAATTCTAAAAGAGAAAATACCTAGAATATGAATAATATTATTTAACGAGGTGACCGCAACCAAATATATTTAAGTAAA